AAAAAAAAAAAAAAGACTGAACTATTACTTAGGCTTCGGAGCATCTGTAGTTGTTTCGAGGCTTGGTTCTAAGTACTTAAATTATTCCTCACTCTCAGTGGAAGTCTCCCAGTCACCATAAGAAATTCTCCATCCGCCTTTGCTACGTAGAAGCCATGCGCCGAAAGGAACCCACTTTACCCACTACCGTCGGAAAGTCCAGCCGCCAGAGAAGAGGCTAAGCCACCTTATTCCTGCTCTTGATTGGCCACGCATCCGGAAGACTTAATCACAACCAATAGGATCGCTTAAACTTCCGTTCTCGTAACGTTATGGGGAGATGTGCGGAAGCGCTTACGAAAGGTGGGTTACGCAATTGCTGATGTCATACTCTCGTCCAATCGGGAGGTAGAGAAAGGACAGTTCCTGGCAAAATCCTCGTCTCCACTCCTCTCCTCTTTTGCTTTTCCTGCGCTATGGCCCGCCTTTCTACTGCAGACCAATACTCTTCATGTTCCTGTACACGTTTATCCAATCAGAAAGGTGGAGGGCGGGGTTCAGTCGTCTGCTCTAAGCCGCGCGCTGGCGGAGGTTGCGTTTTCTCCGGTGTCCATAGGGGCTGGCTGCCGAGGTACATTTTTCCAGGGCCGAGTTGTGCTAGGTCCCCGGGGTGGGCAGTTGTGTCGACGGGCGGCAGCAGTGCTGGTTGAATCTAGAAAGCTACAGTCACTGAACATCTAGCTCGGGGAGCGCCGAGGGAATGGGAGGTGCCAAGAAGGGGGAGCACGTGTTGGGGAGCGTCGCCCCTGCGTCTGGTCTGTCCTGGCTCTGCGGGTCAGACTAATGTTGCCGACGCCGCCCCAGCACTTTATCTGGCCCATGTGCCAGTGAAAGCTAAACCTCGTACGTTTATTTCCAAGGAAAGGTGTCAAGGACCTGTTTGTCCTTGCTCTTCCTTTATTCATTTCCAACTATATACTGGGTTTTTCTCGAGGCCAGAACGCAGATTATCTCTTGGGAATAGACGTCACACAATGTGGTATGTGCTGTGATAGCAGCTACTATGTTAAGCACCTTACATGCGTGGGGTCGTTTAATCCGCTTGTTAATCTGAAGAAGTAGGTAATTTCATGGGAAGAAACGGACATTAAATGACTCGTCCGTGTCATCTCTTCATTTAGTGGCATTCCGCTTCCATGGCTGTAAAATTAAACTGTGGTATTACTTGTAAAATGTTGCTCATGTTTTCTTT